TTTTCAAGAGTTGTATTGACTTTACTACAAAATTGCAGGGGTGGGCAGTCAGGGCAGGTGAAGCAATCCTGCGTGGCACATTTGTTTGTGAGTACATTGGTGAAGTTCTGGATGAGCATGAGGCAAATGATAGGCGCAACAGGTTTCAGTTTTGCTATGATCGATGCAGGTTGTTCTGACTTTATTTGAGTTTTCATGCTATATTTTAAATTGCCCCTTACGAATTATCAGGTATGGAAAAGACGGTTGCGGCTATTTATATGAAGTTGATGCTCATATTAATGATATGAGCAGATTGGTAGAAGGACAAGTCAATTATGTAATTGACTCCACTAACTACGGAAATGTTTCAAGATTCATCAATCATAGGTAATGTAAGACTTAGTGATTTATTTATTTTAAATCCTTTCCCGTGAAGGAGGTCTTTTAAGTTACTTTGCAATTTATGCAATTTTGTAATACAATGAATCGAATAGCAGGCTGAGTTCTATCCCAATTACTACCAATTCTTTAAGTTGTTCATACTACTTTAGTAAAAGAAATCCCATAGAAGAAAGCGTTAGCAAAACAACTTTCTGTTCCTTAATTCGGGAGACCAAGCTCAACTAGACTCGGCCCAAGCTCAATTTGGGTCCTGAGTTCAGGTTCAAATAGACTCAACCCAAGCTCAAATTTCCACTTGGGTTTGAGTTGAGCCTGTTTAGGGTTGAACGTCAATCTTTATAGGAACTTGAGAGACCCATGAGGTCGGGGAGCTTTCCTCCCTCCTCTCTATGATCAAGAATACCCCTCTCACATTCTAGACCTGAGTTCTGACGGCAGAATTTAGCCACTTGCGTCCTCAGGTGTTCCTGTATTTCTTTGTTTGTTGTGAGTTTCTGCTTATTGGGTGACACAGGTTCTGTGAAGATTCTGTGTGTTAGCATTGTTTTTTGTGGGGTGATTTGGATGTGAAGGAACGGCGTAAACTCTCAGGGTAAGGTTGGGGAGTTTGGCTGGGCTATGGGATAGAATTGGGTCTGGGCTTCAGTTTCTTCTACATTCAGTGATTGCCATTTCTTTCTTTTAAACTTGGATTGCAAAGTTCTGGGGTTAAAGAACGAGGCCCACCTTGCATCTCATATGCTTTTACTTTGAGACTGTACCTTCTGTTTATTTGCCCCAATGTGCTTGTTCTGGAAACATTATATTCCCTTGACAGAGCAGTGGAAAACTTTCTGTCTGGCCAAGTGGTGGATGAAACTTTGTTGACTTGATTCTGATTTCTGTGCTGTTTTTATTTATTAGGCTTGTTTGAGTATCTTGTGATCTACTCCTGAAATATGTTATTCTTTTGTAGCTGCTCGCCTAATCTTGTTAATCACCAAGTTCTTGTGGAAAGCATGGATAGTCAGCGTGCACATATTGGTCTCTATGCAAATCGAGATGTAAGCACTTTCTCTTTTCTTCTCCTTGCTTGATCTTCTTTGTGCATGAGACATGAGATGTGGGGTTGAAAATTAAGTTCCTAAGATAATTTACCCTGTTGAAATGATTAGAAAGTTTTTACATGGTTTGTTGCTTAGTTATCCTTACTAGTGATCCACTCATTGGCCAAGACATATTGGAAGTTCATCCTTCCCTGTTTTTTGATATATTTGTGGCACTTGATCTACAATTGACGATGGCACGCTGCAACTAAGTATGGTGTGCTTACAGTGAACAATGCTATTCTTGATATCTCATTCTACCATATATGAGCAGATAGCTTTGGGGGAAGAACTAACATATGACTATCGGTATAAACTGCTTCCTGGAGAAGGATATCCATGCCATTGTGGAGCTTCCACATGCCGGGGCCGGCTTTATTAAACCTTGAATGAACACTGTACTCTTGCTCGCACTTCAATAATGGGAAGGCAGATTGTCAAGTGAAAATAATCTCTGCATTGGTCAATGGTGAGTTCTCGGTAAGATCCAACTGTTTGATTACATAATGAGGATCTTGGATCTTGCTGGAAAGCCAAGTCATGAAGTGGCACAAGGGTTTGTTCAGCTCTGAATCCGCTGCAAGACTGTATGTTTTGTTCCTCAGGTAGATTGTACCTATGCCTTTTTAGTGTTTTTCGAAGAATCGAGGATGACAAGTTTCAAATTTGTTGATCCTGTAGCCGCTCGGGATTAGCAAACTGTAGATGGTTTTTTTGCTGGTAGTAGTTCTTAGGCCGTGTAGTGTGATGGAATGCTTAAATAGCCAATCTTATATGTCTTCTTATTTTTTGGAAGTATGGTTTTTCGTTGTTCAAGGATCCCAGCATTGTCCGTTATACTTGCTCCCAATGTGCTGATATAAGAATATGAGCTGATAAAATTTTAAATTTTGAAAGTAATTCCTTTAGAATGATTAGAAAATTATATATAATTACAGCAGCGACTTTTCTCTTGTAAGCATGGCTAATCCAATTTCCAATGAAGAAAACACAGATAATGTGCCAAACTGTGCTTTTAGGCTTAGATTTGATACAAGGATTAGCAACCTCTCTTAAAACAGTGCCTTCGAATACAACAAACAGATAAAATCATGGCATACTTGTTCTTTTGTACAATGCCGGATAAGATCACAATCAAAGATTCCATTTTGTTTCAGGCTTCATGCGTTATTCTGTTGTATCAGATTCAGAACTTCAGTTCTCCTTTTTGGACCACAAAGAAGACAAAGGGAAGCCCATAACTGAACCCAACCAAGATTGCCATTCCTGTTAAATTACAATTTTCGCCGGTCATTATCTTATCATTAAAAACAATTAATAGTCACATTTTAAACTCAAAGTGAAAGACAACTCTTTTTATTTCTCTTTTAATATAAGTGAGAGTCTAAACTACGAGAAGATGAGGTGTTTTAGGCACACACTATCAAGGTGTCATGAGATTCGAACCTGAGACCACTTATTTGTAAGTCAATGCTCTTTTTCACTAGGCTAGAATCTTGTTCGCAAAGCACAACACTTTAAGTAGAATGAACAATTTGATGGAAATTCCTAATAATAAAGAGAAAAATGAAGCAGGTAAAGTTGGCTCACCATATTCAACAAATCTTGGAAATTTGCTCTGCTGTTTATGTGGGGGAGCTTCTAATGAAGATGCTGTCAACTGCAAAATCATGGAGATTATAACCAACCCACTTCCTATTTTCTCCCTAATAACTCTCTCACTTAAATCCAGGGACCAGAACCCAGACACACCATCCACCAAGGTGCTTTCAGCTATGACCCTGATAAACAAAAATATCCCAAGCCATAGTGTCCCCTCAGCAACATGCTTAATTGCTTTGGATGAAATAGCCCAATTCACCAGATTAACAACACAAGCACCACCATAGAGAGAGAACCAGAAGTACCAATCTAAAAAAAGAACGAAAGAAAGAAAGAAATTGAGAAATAAAGTTTGCTTGGATTTTTATAAACAGTGCAATAAGAAAAGGGCAGCAAGATTACAGTACCAGGGTCATTTAACTGCACAGATGCAGAGTAAGCAAACAGTGATGCCATGAGTAGAGAACACAAAGTGTTCAGCTTGGTGGGTGTAGCCATTTTTCCTTTTTCTTCTTCAGTTTTTGTGTTCTTTCAGATCTTCAAAGGAAGATAATTACTTGCTGGTTTTCAGACATAGCTAGGATCATTGAACTAATAACAGTCAACGCCTTCAATAAGTTCATATTTCCTCCTCTCAATATTTTAAATGTTATTCATCTAATTTTACTCCTGCAGTTATGATTCATGTGATCATTTGTTAATTTATTGATTGTCAAAATGGTTTTAACTATTCATTATGAAATAATTTTCTGGTCCAGTTTCTAAGATATAATTGTAATTCTGTTATCATTATCATCATAATCATCATCAGCATATTAACTTATTAGGTATTATTAGGTGAGACTCTCACCTCCTTCTCCTAAACACAGCTTACTTGCTAGCTTGATCAATTTAGTCAATTTACAGTAAGACTGATCAAACCTACCACATGAGAAGCAATTCCATGGTGGGCCCAGCTTACAGCAAAGCCATCTTCCATGGAATTTCTTTTTGGTACAACTGTATGATGAAAACGTGCTCTCTTTCTTTCCATTCTAGCTGCCATCATTTCTGATCTCCATTATTGCATGTTACAAGTCACAACAGTTGACACAGTCTCATAGCCTTTTCCTTTTCATCAAGCACAAAACCTAAAAGAAATAAAAGGGTCAAAATTAAGTCAAAAGATTTTCAATACTATGTAGATATTCCTTGCCAATTCTTTCTTATGTGAAATTTTGCCACTTGATCTATATCCCCTCTCTTTGTCAAAAGCAAATAGCAACAAACATAAAGCAAAGAACAAAAGCAAATTAGGTACATTCTTATGGAACATAAAGAAAAAAAGGTACATTCCCATGGGGCACATTTGAATTATGGTCCTTCATTAATATCCATAAATGCATACAATATCAATGGGTTTTTGTTCAAGAATAAAAGTTGGGTTTTGTTTACAAAAGGCAAATCAAACCATAGATTTGGTAAGAGGTTATAATTGTAAGTATGCAACTTATGCATGCATTAATATATGGTCCTGTTATGTGATGGCAACGTGGACTATTGAATTTGACTTCAGAATTTGATTTTGTAAGCAACCTATATTATATATTATAAGTTTGTGAAAATATATATATTATATGGTCCTGTTAAAAGTATACTTCTAGACGTTATTATTATGCGGACACATGTATTTTTAATTATCCATTCATGCTTTCTTTCATATTTACAATCATATCTATACGGTAATTACTAGTTACGTTCGGACATATGATAAGAGAAGAAATGTATATATTATACGCTCAAGCTCTTATACAATTGTGTGAATTATTGCCATGTATCAATAAACCTTGTGTATTTGTGTTGGAATTCTCTTTCTGGAATTAATATTTGCCAAACTTGGGTTTCCGAGGTTTCACAAATCCATTTTTGATTAATACATGCAAAGGTCATGTGGGGCAGTTCAATCTCCATCAACTCAAAACCCCATTGTGATACACAATCTCTTTTTATTGATTTTATTCTTTCTTCCTTTTTTTCTTTATCTTTTTTTTTTTTTTGTGGAAAAATGTGTAATATATTTGCATATCATTTTCAATAAATGTTGAGCTATAAGTTTTAATTAAAATACTTTTCAAATCTATGAATTTTGTTGTTGTTTTGTTATCTTTAAGATCAACAGACCTTGTGATGCTTGAGAAAATATAATTGGAAGATTGGACGCATCCATCATTTTCATTCCCGCCAAACTTTATCCACCACCGCTACCTGTAACACTCAGCCATCCAATTACGCAAAAATGTCTTTCTTTCACCTCTTGTCCCTAAACTCAATTTCGCGACATAGCAAGACCCACTTCAGAGGATAGCGATGCTCCTGACAAGACATAAGACTAATGTTTGGATTACGACTTGTTAAAAGCTTTAATATGTTCAACAGAAAAATTCGTCTTAGTATAAGGATAAATGTTCTTAATCACATGAATTAATCAAAACAAGACTTGAGGTATAATGGTATCGATTAAATAAACATATAAATTCTTTATTTAAACATATACAAAATAAAAAACAATAACTTTTATTAAAGTTACCTAAGAATCTTTTACAAAATAGTCTGAACTACTGTCAGATTGTCAATACACATTCAATCATTTAACAAAACAGACTAGAAATTGCTATATTTCTTATGTATCTATCTTTTTTAAAGCCTAGAAAATCTAGCAACGTTCCAACAACGCCAGCACAAGGAACATAATAAAGAACACAGAAAAAGTTCCAGCCAAAGAAAGAGAACAGAGAAAAAGAACCGAAAAAATAATAGAAAACTGAGGAGAGACAAGTGTAAGGCGTGCCTGCTCGAGTCTGTTTGATACTGAGAAAGTGTTTTCCAGATAGAGTAGAGAGAGAATATTTTGCAGAGGCAAAAGACATGTAAATTCTGAAGCTAACATACAGATAATCATCATCAAAAGCATAGGACCATTTTTTTTTTCTCGATCAAGTAGCATAGGAGCATAGGTAGACAGAAACTGGTGAAGTAGAAAAACACAACCCATGAGCCATGAGCCATCAATCTCTGTAGTTTTCCACTTTTTCTTCTTTTTCTTTTTGTTTTTCTTTCTATTTTTTACCTTCTTTTTGGGTCATGTGGGCTTTCTTTGCTTTACTAATTAAAGGGTCACTAGCACTAATGATTCTTCCCTGCAAGTCTCTGTTCACTGGTTCCCTTGATGCCTGACACCGAGAGCTCACATTCAATCATTTTAGGGGCACTCGTGGGCTTAAAAAATAAGAGATTGGAGATAAATATTCAGAGGCCTCTCGGATTACCCAGTTCTTGGTGAGTCTTTTTGCTGTTTTGTGTTTTAAGGTTCATGCAATTGGGCACAAAAAGGACCTAACTATTTTTTGTTAATTTGCGGCTTCTGTGGGTTTTTGTCTTGGAGTTGATCTGTGATTTCTATGCTTTTGAACGCCCTTTGTGCCTATACAAATATGAGTTGTTCAGTTCAGTCTCTTTAAGACTCTGTTATTTACCTTTCTGCAATTCTTCTTACAAAGATTACATCTTTTCCTATTTTCAGTGAAATTACTAGCTGGGTTGGTGCTTTGAGTATCACATTCCTTCAATTTTCACTAAATTGAAAGTCTTGTTGTGAAGTAAGTGAATTCTCAGTTTAGGGTTCTTAGGATCAACCTCAAAATCACGCCTTTGCGCCTTTCATGCTTATGAGTTTATATTGTTATCAGACTCTTTTGAAGCGGTAAAGAGTTTTGGTTCCAAAGATTTGTATTGGGATCCACAGCAATGCGCTAACTGCAATTTCTGTAAATTCTTGTGAAATATGGCTGAAATTAGACTTACAAGGGTAGAACAAGGCCAAACCAAGATTAGAAATGTCCCAATTGCCGTGACACCAGAAGGTTTCTGGTGTTGCCCTTCTCCTGTTGTGTTTCAAAAGACCCTCAAA